TATAACAGTGGAGTAATTTTTTTAAATTATCTATATCAAAATAAATTTTATATTGGTAAATATATAACCTAATTATAAAAAAAAAAACTCTTACATTTACCTAAATAAAATATATTATTTCTGGTAACTTTGTTTGTTTCTAATACACGTATAAAACACTTAGACGTTTTCAATAATACATTACAAAAAGATATTGTCACCGCAAAATGGGTATTTTATTTAATATAAGCTGTGTCCACGGCTTGACCCGCTTGAAATTTATAGCCTATATGTGATTCTGATGTATAAGCTATACTGTAAACTTTCATAAAAATCCGTTCAGTAGTTTTTGCGTGAAAGAGTAACAAACATCAATCCATACTCACAAACTTTCGCGTTTATAATATTAATAATAAGATATAATAAAAAGTATTATAAAAAAATCCATCCATCCCGAGCCGGAGACATTACTAAACACACCACTAATAATTAATAAGGACCTTAAATGTAACTAATACTTGAAACAAAAGAACGAACTAAAACCTAAAAAGATAAAGCCAAGTGCTTGAGTTTGCGGAGTCAGCTAGAAATTGATTGATCCGGCGTCTATTGTATTTGTGAGGAGATTCAATTGCTATGCGGGAACATTGTGCCGCGGTCAAATGTTAGGCGCTGAGTAGGACGCTCACAAGCGTTTATTAAGGCCACGCCATCAAAGTTTTATGTTTGAGTCTGTTTGATTTATGATGTATGATTTGCTGGTACAGTAGGTACTAGAATCTAATCTCAATATCCAATTTTACACATTTGCCAACAATCACTTTTGAAAACTAAGTACGGAAATCTTCTGAATGTGTTTTTGTCACGTATGGTAATTAATACCAAATTTGATGAACTTTTGTGTGTATATTCAATGAGTTCCTGGATAGTCTTAAAGTACAACCAAGGAGGTAAGAGGCGCTGCATCTGCGGAGTTTGCTGGTATGTGATATGAAATATAATGAATAACTTAGTACTATCTTTAAGACAAATCATTAGAAAATTATTGCGTATTAGAAGAAACAATAAATTCTTACTACATCACATTTCGGTTTGGATGGTAAGTACGAGTATAACGTGGGATATGTCTGATTTTATATAATTTATAATTAATTTTAAACTTGTTAATGATATTTATATTTTGTATTATGTCTTTAATATCAGCTAAGATGCCCAGTGCATTTTACGCAACTGTCATGTTGTTTTGAAAAACACTATAATTACAGCTGATAATGTTATTCTGCTAAGACGTGTTTGTTGGTGATTATGCTTTGATACGGCTATTCATAAAATCGTACCCTATTTATTGCAGTATATAAATAATTGACAGAACAAGATATTATAAGAACCCGTATCACTATATATTTATTACTGTCCAAATCAAGTACTTCCCACCTAATCCGTAAATATTTGTACAATACATACCTATTTATTTAGTCACATATACTATATATAATATGTTTTCACACTTTATATTGGAGTGTATTTTTTAGTTGTATTTTTGTATTTTGGTACCTGAAGTTACACTTAAGTATGTTAGATATTTATTTTAAGAAACTCATAAAAAGATTATGATTTAATTATATAAATAAAATTAAAGGTTATCAAAATAAAAATATAGACAAAAGCAAAAAGTATCGAACACATAAGAATAAAAAAACCGTAAAAAATATTTTACTTCTCTCTGAGAAATCATTACCTTATTTATTAATTAATTAATTAGTTAACTCTCTCATTTATAATTTACTAAATATATAATTAATTGAATGTTTTATTTCTGTACGAATAAAAGAGATAAGTATAAATAAAATATGTAATGTTAGACTGATCTACGTCCAGTTTAAGCTATTGGTTGTAAAAACCTGATATTTGTATAGGTGCCTCTTTATTACTTAGGCATCCTTTTGGAAAGGGTTTACTAAAATTCTCACGGGAATAGGAGATAACGGTTCGCTTAGACTAGAGGAAGGCGTGTCTGATTTTACATAACCGCACTTGATCTAAACGAAGGAAAATCTTTTTATGAATAAATTATTTTACTATAATTTACTTTTTGCTATTAAGTTACTTAAATAAAATAAACAGCAGTTTAAATTTATTATACGGTGGTCTCACTCGCACTTCAGTAGTTCCATTTAATTATTAACGTGAACTACACTTAGGTATATCACAGATAACATAATATGACATACTTATATTATAATAAGGGAATATTACATTTTTTGTATGTTTATAATGGATAATGTAAATACATATTTGTATTAATCTCGCTTATATAAAGTTTCCTTTAATACCGATAATATGGGCTGTTGTCCACGTGGACAGTGACGTGGGATATAATATAATAGACGGAGGTATTACTCGACAAACTACTGCATATTGCCGATACATTTAAACTGCGGCTACAATGCATACAATGCGGCTATGAGTAAGTTGTTTTGGTATATTTATCAACTGGTGAATATAGCCGTCGAAGCTGATAACAGACTTAGCCGGGCTACTTAGAACCAAGTTTTTGGTCCTATATTATAAATAATCACGGCGCACTGTACAGTTATTACTAATTTCAAGCTTTTGGTTAATTAGTCATCATGGGACTTACCGCGTTATTTTACTACCTTATAGCCATTTGTTTGGTCGTTTTGAAAAGATTTCATTTCCAACTTCCAATGACTATTAATCAGAAGATGAAGTTTTTTCTAAGGAAAGTTGTGAAATAACGAAAAGACTACTGTGTGTATATTTTACTACTATTAAGTATAACACATAGCGTAATGAACTGCTGCTTTGAGAAAGCACCCACTTGAAAGTTATAACAACAGCGGAGTCGTTATGTTATGATGATAATATATTTTTATCTACGCAACCCGAAATAAGACCTCGAGTTACAATATAGCGTTTGGGTCAATTGCACTATTAGTACAGGCCTATCCACTTACATCTTTCCCTTGTCGGTCGGCCACAAAGGGCCTCTCGAGATGTCTATCCAGCTTCGTAGCGATAGTGTCAGCTAACCACTTTTTTATCGATTCCCATCGACATCTCTTCATTGATTACAACGACACTGAAACTTTTATTTTGTATTCTATAATATCTTTGATATTGAATCTGATTTGTCAATAGACATTTACGCTTCGTATAAAAAAAAAGGTTATTTGTTTACTTGATTAGCTATTTTATACAGACAAATATGTAAAGTTTAGATGCAACTTGATTGAAATATGTGTTAGTCTCCAATTGTTACATTATATGTTTACAGTTGTCTTCACAATATGGTTTTATGTTTACGATTAATATTGTTATCTATTCTGCCTGATTCCAAATTTTATAAATACAAAAATATCCATATTTTAGTCATCACATTTACAATAGTATTATTTATGAATATTTTTGTTTATTATATTATATTGTGTCCAATACTTTTAATAACTTAAAAGCCAACATCTGGCGTTGTATATATTATTATCATGTAATACCGACTGATGTTACAGTGTTAAATAATTTTATTCGCCTGACAAGCTTCAATTTGTGTCCTTTGATCAATGAATAGCTACTTTACTTGGGTAGACCTTACACAGAAATTACATTTTCATCAATCCATGAATAATACGGGGAATAAAATAATCAACCGAATATATTCATGAGGCGAAACTACACTGCAAATATTACTGGGCCCGCCCACGATAAAGTTATAGTCATTAATTTAACATTAGTGTTGCCTTTTGTTTCAAATTGTATATAGTACGGAGAAAAAATATAACAAACAATGTGCGAATCATGTTTAGTAAACAATTTCATAAAGTGTATAGAGTAGGTTACACAATTACCTATATTGGTAGACATATATATTGTTATAATTAAAAATAAACAAAATATTGAAAACGCTTGAAAACTTAACCCTTTATTTTATAGCAGAGCCCGCGGTTTCACGTGCTAAAATTACAGCCTATTATGTTATTCTGATATATAAGTTCTATTGCTGTTATTTGCGTGAAAGAGTAACAAACATCCATACATACTCACAAAGTTTCGCGTTTACAATATTAATAAGATACGCGGTTTTTCTTAATTAATAATATCTATTAGATATAGATATTATTAATAAATCTGACTCTTCAATTGTGGAACAGTGAACTCATGTCGAGTTTTAATTACAAGATATATATAAGTTGTACTACAGTTACACGAACATGTCGTATAATATACTCACATGATATATCATCTTCTTCAAGATCTATACTATTAATTAGTATTTTTATCGTAAGTTATAACAATATACTAATAACTGAGGGACATTTAGTAGATAATTGTTTTTATCATTCTATATTATGAACTTAAAAAAACATTTATTAACAAATAAATGTACAGTTTAGATAAAAAATCTAAACTGTAGGTACAAGGTCCTTCATTTCTGGTATCGAACTATGTACCTAATTCTTAAATGGTTATGGTTATAATATGGAAATTGTAAATACGAATATTTCCAGTTTTTCTGTAATAATTATTATGTCCGCCTCTTAGTAATAGCACAGATAACATAATATTACATAGTCATAGTGTCTTTTTGCTTGTAATCAAATATTTCAAAAGAAGTAACTTTTGTAAAAATATACGTCGCTGTTTATGTTTTACTTATTGGGAAATAAATTAAAAATATATCAGTTATTGGTGACTGTACTAGTATATATGCATATATGTTTATTAACCCGCTAATGCCTAGCGCTGTGATTCGCCGTTAGCGAGCTATCGAACCAAAATTTGGATTGCATACATGCATGACCTGGTTTCACAATTTTATGATATCAGACAGTCACCTTAATTGCTAATGTAATATTTAAGTGGTAATTTACTGCAATTTCGTATATTTTTTTTTGTATAACTCATTAAAACCGCGTCTTATCCGTCACATTAATTGACGCAAAAACATTGAAATTTGCCTATAGCTACAGCATTAAAATTGTCATGAAAACCTTAAAGAATAATAGAGAAAATATTTTGTCTAAACTTCGGGGATCCTTTCAGGATATCTTCCAGGTAAATAATCAGGGTTATTGGGATTATACTTCCAAATAAGGTATTCCGGCTCATTAAGATACAGTGGTGGAATTTCATCACTGGGTTCCAACTCTTGCCCGATCAAGTTTTTATTGCGTTCCAGCAATTCATCAACTTTTGCTTGTGTTTCTTCTGATATATCTGAAATTATATACTTTTATTTGTAAATTGTACAACATGTATAATTTTGTTGTATAACTACTAAGACTGCAACTGATCATTGTGTGTACATCTAAAATATGTAACAAACACTATTAATCTAGGACTTTAGGAACGTGATAAAGCACAAAACTTGAATTTTTGTCTATTTACTTGTACCCACAAGTAAGCGCTATCACCAGAAACGACTCCACTATTTGGGTACAATTTTTACTAATGCATTGTGGTAAGATTAAAAAAGTCTGTTTGTGTTATTCTAATTGAATTACAAACAAAAAGTTATAATCTGAAACTATTGTTATTGCAAAACGTGTGTAGAGTCGCGGACCCAGCTTGTTAGTTATATAAATAATAAATTACTTACGAGTCCTACGCAAATCAATCCTAAGAACTTTCTTATTTTGTTCAAGGGCACTAACAAGGGTTTTTTCAGCTTCGCCAGATAAATCGTTAGCAGCCATATCTAATCTAGTCAGACCTCGATTCAAACTCAGAAGACCAGCCATCTATAAATGTAGGTAGTATATAATAATAATATCTCAAGACAATTCACATAGCTCCATCTAGTCCCAAGATAAGCAGAGCTTGTGTTATGGGTAATAGACAACTGATATAAATACAGAAATGCTTTTTTTCTAAAATACACACATAACACATATAGAAAACACTCAGACCGATACAAACAATTATGACATTTAGACAAATGTTTGTACCTAGGAATCGAACCCCATCAGAAATAAGGCGGTGTGCTAAACCAGTATTATAGAATTGAAATTATTAAATTTGTCAGTTAACTAGTATATAAATAAGCTTTGTTAAAGCGTCCATAAACGTAGGTACGAGATATAAATGAATAATCATGTCCAGTTTTAGTTGAATAGTATCTGTTATATTTAGAATTATCTTAAATGAAAATATTTTTTTGCCCTTTCCAATATAAAATAACATGTTAACCTTCTCTGCTGAGGCACCGTGAAATCCACATGAATTTACAATCAACGTCTGAGGTTTCTCTTTACAGCGTACAAATGCTGCAGCAAACATCGTCGCGCATTCTATTGACATTGGATTCAAACTGAAATCTGTATTTGACTTTATATATTTCTATATACTTACATAATTTAATGAACCAAAGCATAGTACTACGGTGTAAGGTAGACCCTATGGTGACCTTAAGGTCAGATTGTTATACATAAAAAAATACAGTAAAATTAAATTTAAAATAATATATATAAAATAAAACTAAGATTACGATTACCCAAAAGAATAAAGTACGAAAATTTATTACCTAGAAGTTCTATAGGAGCAGCCGGCTTCATCTGTAAAGCATACGCGATACCTTGTACTCCTACTTCCTTGAAACGATTATTAGCTATTCTCACTATTTTAACGTTTGTATGTATATGAATAAAACCGCCTAGTGCCTTCATTCCATAATCACCTATCTTACAGTGATTAAAATCCAACTCTTCAATACATTCCTTCTTTACCAAATTTTGCAATATGAGTTTTACTTTACAACAGTCCAAATTGCTTCTATTAATACGAAATATTTTTAAGTGACGTAAATCTTCGAAACCTCTACATAGTGATTCGCAGTCGGCCATAGAAAATTCGAAGTATCTAGTCAAATAGTTGTCGTTGAGATTATTAATGCCAAAAACTAAGGATATTTCTTGCAGATTATACAACTTGACCAAAACAGGCTCCAATGGGATATGATCATAAACTCTAGGTACGCTGAATGAGCAAGTATCCTCAACCACATTATCGTTAGGAATCGGCGGTGATGGTTGACGTACCATTTGCAGCTGTTTTAGGCCCAGAAAATAAATATACGGGCTGACCTAAAAAAAATATTAGTCTTTAATTTTACAATTTATCAACTTTGTTTAGTTAGTGAATATCAAATTATATTATTTACGAAGGTTTCTAATGATCTAGTCTATGTCCATCCAACCCTTCTCCTGGAACATACCCTATAAACTACCCATACATGTCATCTGTACAATTTTAGAAAAGTTTACATTAATGTTCATCTGATCCCGGAAGTTTATTTTCCACTAAACAATAATATTATCTTGATTATGTTGATCGAATTACAAAATATGATATATTATTTTGTTGGTCTTTTAATTTTGAGAAATTGTTGTATCGACATAGTACTGGTTTACATGTTACTATTTGTTATTGACAAATTAATTTAAGTAATTAAACCCTACCACATCACTATCGTAAATAGGATTTATACCTACTATATGTATAATAATGGCATATTTGAAAAATAGCGCTACACAACGTATAGAGAAATTTCAATTGTGATTTTAATAGACTATTTTGATAGACATAAATGTTAAACATAATCGGTGTTTGACACATGTAAATAAATGCATAGACCTAAAATAATATTTTACAGAGAATGAACGAGCAACTATTATGTTAGTGAGAGTCTCAGATTTGTTATACGTAATATTCATAGTTAATATTATAATTACCACTAATACCTATGAGTATGAGTTATGTGAGTGAGTTATTCATAAAAGCATATAATTGCAAAAAGTGGATATATACATGATATGGATTAATGAGTTAAAATATTAATAAATGTTTTATCTACCAATGTAGCAAGTTCAACCGCATCGTTTTCGATAAAGACATCCGGGTTTACATTCTCCAAATAGTCTTGAAGACATATACTTAAAAACGCCCCTTTCCAAAATGTAACACCAAGCTCTTTTCTAGATGGAAATTTCATATTAAATGACCTTTTCCAATATTGCTCATCCTGAATAATGGGAAAATTAAATAAAAAAAATTATACAGTTAAATTTTCTATATAATTATAATACTACAGATTTTTATGACAATAAACTGAAACTCTGGAATGCTGTTTCGAATGATATTCAATATACTGATAAATATAAATATCATCATTCTTTTAAATATTCTATTCTATATTTTGTTTATCTGTAGTTCTCTACAAAAAAAAATTTTTTTTTCTTGCAAAATGCAAACTTCTTGAACAAGCATAAATGGGTTCGAAGTGGAAAAGGGATAGTTTCTTTTTAATAATAAACAAAGATCACCTGAATATACCGAACGCTATACTTTAAGGGTATATCCGCAGGATATAAATCCATCAATATATCGATGTCTTTTTGCAGAATCTTTCTCAAAGGGTTAATTCTGTGGAATATTGTGGCGAGAACACGGGCAGCATAATACGTGAGTGGCGCAGGTGTGAGCTCATCATCCCATTCGAAATCTTCAGCCACTATTTTGCGAGGAACTTCAGCAACTGAGTTTTTCATAACCGCAGATGTGGCGTATGCTTCGCGTACGTTTTGTGATACTAAATAAGGTAACTTCATTTTTATTCTCTAAATTTTTATTACAAAACGTAAATGTTCATATAATTGTCAACTGAACATATAAGTTAATTCCAAAACTCTATTTAATATTGAATATTTTCTGTTTTGACTGTAATTTTAGACATTTAGTTTTTTATATTCAAAGCGGTTAAACTTAAATCATATTAGTTTTAATTAAAATAACATAACTTTGACTGACACATGTCAAGATTATGCGTTTATGTTATGTTATTATATCATAAATACAGTTATATCATTGTTAATTTATAAAATAGTAACGAATAGCAAATCGATTTATAGAATATAAGTTCATTTTGCTTGTCATGTTACATTGTAAAGTATCTATTTTTAACAGTAACAATTGCCATCTTCATTAAAAATAAACATATAAGTACCATATTTTCATATTCATATAGAAGCTCAATATACCGTATAGATATTACATGAAGGAATACCAAAAATATTCAAACGTAAATCTATAAATGCTATATTCTTTGTTACAGAATATCAATAAGTTATATTATCTGTAGGCAAAGTCCAAGTCGATGTCATTGTTGAAACTATATCGGGTGTCCCCGTAAGCGTTCGGATACGATCGGCTCAAAACATTGAAATGAATACACCCGGCATCTGTTTGGAGTGTTTGGTTTGTTTGTTATTGTAATATCAGTCGGCGTGCGCTAGAGTCACATTTCATACTTTACAATTATTGTAAGCAAATTGTTATAATTGAATTTAAAAAATTATAAATATGAATTCGAACAATAAAAATACGACCAAGAATCAGAATAATTCACAGTATTCAAGTTATAATCCATGGAATTTGTTCACACAGAGATCTCGTACGGAAAGTGAAAATAGTACCAGCTCTACCAGTTCCCAAAATTACCAATCAGGCAAGTCATGCTTTAAAACCTGTTTATAAAATACTTTACAATCAATATAAACATTAATTTAAAATTATATGTTATTTGAAATAAAGTTTTAAATTGATACTATAATACCTCATTATTCCATTACTTATCCCATGCACAAATATAATCATTTTTTACATCGTAATATTTATATATTCACAATTTAACTAAAATTTTATATGTATTAGAATAATGACAAATTTATATATTTTCCGTTATCCATAGCAATACATATAGGTAAGTACCTACTCATGCATTTTATAGGCATGAAACGAATCACGTAGGTTGATATTCCTTGTAACAGCTGTTTTAGTGTTGATATTTATTCACATTTGTCCCAAACATTACACCCGCATTATGTGGATACAGCTAAGTAAATTAAAGTAATATTTTCGTCTATAAATACGTAAAAAAATATGATATGACACTGCCCTCCGTTGATACGTAATCTACCCAAACATAAACATCTGATCCATGAGGTTCACACTATCGGTTACATTGTGGGCTTAGTACTGTATTTTATTACTAAAAAACAACAATTCTTCAATTACATACGTAGGCATATACTAATTTTATAACAAACTTACCTAATTTTTTTCCACGATATTTCTGGTTTTGTTAACTACCTAATTGTGTTATTTATTATGGTGTTGACACTTTATTTGTTAGCACAAAACTAAAATTGATTTATTATATAACGGTTTTAATTGCAGGTGGTTTAGAAGACTGCGACTATTAAACTTTTTGCCGTTTACTATTTTTAGATGGTGACATTCACCTTCTGTAATTTAGATTCCTATTAGTATAGTTATTATGAAACAGTATTAGTTCAGGTTGCAGCATAATTACCTAAATATTTAGTAGCTTTACAGCCACTACTACTACTAATATTTCGTGTTTTATGCTCTTCTGTCATGCCATCTTCATGTCATCTTCTGTCATCTTCTGCATGAAGGTGAGAGGAAAGAGATATTTATGGATGCTGGGAATAACATTTGTACACAATAATTAGTTAGGATGTAATATTACAATATGTACATATATACAACATATGTCCTACCTGACAATCTTCTTATCTTTTGTACAGGTCATATAAATCGTATTATTAGGCAAATTTATAACTGTAAGCAACAAATAGCAAATTCGTTATTATAAGTGTAAGTTAGCTCAATTAAAATAAAAATACGACGTATCTGTAATCAATAGTGATCATATAAAAATGTATTTTCGATTTTGATATCATACATTTTACTTCAGTACATATGTATCTACTTAATTTATTTATTTTAATATATTCATACGTACTCTACAAAAACTGATATTTTAAGAATATTGCATCTAGATCGAACGTGGGTTTATAAATGTTACTTCCCAGTATTTCAATGACACTAACAAACCAGTTTAATGGTTTACCGTGATTACTAAATATTTAACAATATGTTAGTGTTCGGTGCCTTTTAATTGACTTAACTGGTACCTAAATAGTTTAATATTAACTTTAAATAAAGTTTCTGTGAACTAAGTTATTTTAACTTAGTAGCTTCTAAATTATATAATAATATGTGTGATTAACATGTTATTGTTATAACTTTGTTTTTGGTTTAAATAAATTCTTTAATTCTTTAATGATCGGTTCATTTTAGCTCCCAATTAGCAACGTTAATATATAATTATATTAATAGACAGTAAATTTACATTTAATATATAAATATAATATACCCGTATTTATATACAAAAAATAGAAAGAAACAGAAACCATCTTTCTGATTAAAGCCTTACATCTACAGAATACATGTAATTTTAAAATGTCAATAGGTACGTCTAGTCGTTGTTTCAATATTTTTATTCTCAAGCTAGAACCTTCAACCTTCAACGGTTAAGGTAACAACATTCAAGCAATCTAATAGCCTAAGTGGCAATGAATATTCGACCTTAATTTGTTTTTAAATGACATAACTTACATTTTAAATACACGTAATTAAAAAAGACTTTTTTGTATGTAGTATAAACTTTATATTTATTTTAGTAGTAGAGTTATCTTATAAATAAATTCGTGTAGTATAATGTAATATGTGTAAAATAATTGCACTAATATTAACGTAATATATGTACCCAATATTGTATCATTAGTTTTAAAGATTTTTAAAACTTATTAAGATACGAGCAGGATCATGTTATAGTCAGAAAAAATGGTTTATCATATTATTATATATTTTGTTCTCCCCTGAATTTCTTTTGTATTTTCTCTTATTTTTAATACATTTTACCTAAAAATGCATCTTTAATAATGCGTATAAAGCAAATAATTCTGCCACTAAATAATAAATGTATAAAAATGGCGCCCTAAGCGCCCTATGCAGCAAGAATCACAATTTGGATAATGTGGAAGTTTACTAGCATCTACTAATATTGGGATCCTCAGATGGAGCCATTCCATGAAAGTCGAGTTTCTGGAAATCTCTTTTTAGTGCGTAATTTTCTCTTATGTGTTTCTCTTTGTTTGATCAGTTTTTATTTAAAGGTACATGGCTATATTACTAATACAGTAATTTCAGAATACCTACTAAGCTTAGACCTTTTATAGTAGGTAATTATCATATATTACATAGTTATTTACAGAAATAACACAGCATATTGTCCTGTTGTAGGTACACAATTCGAATCAATTCAGAGACCAACGAGCAAAAACAATGAGGAGTATTTGTGGATGATGTAAGTAATTCTGTTTATATAAATAATTATTAATTAATTAAAATAATACTTAATAATAAATGGCAAACACTAATTGGTAAGTGGTAAGCATTGTCTATATACAACAACAGCGCTACGGACATCACATTTCATCATATGATATCTGTGATACAACTGAACAGTTGAAATTCCATGTATTAATGTGAGGAATGAAAATGTTTGTTCTGACTAAACGATAACACAAGAAAAACACACCTGCCTACAGAATGGTTCATTAATATAAGAATAAATAAGACCCGAAGCTCTTAAGCATCTCTTAGCACATTTACACTATACAAATATTATTGATGTGGGAGAAGAAATAAGATTCGCCAGTGTGTATATAATACTTGTACATATGACTTTTCTGTTACGAGGACGTGCTATGCGTATACGCGTGTCCCTTCTTATTTATGGTTAAAATTTTATCGATACATGTTTATTGTTATAAGTTATGCATAATTGTGCATATGCGGCATATTTAAATAGCTAATAAGAAACATACAGCCTACCATATATTTTTGCTTCTATATTATATCATTTTTATTCCTTATTCTTTGTTTTAATGGCCAAGCGTATTTTGGCTCCTCAAGGAAAAAATTATTCACCTTCCTCAAGGAAGATACCTATATTATATCTCCATATCGTCAATGTGTGTATATAATGTGTTTTTGAAATGTTTATGATAAACTCTGGTCAAATACCCTCTGCAAATATAGTCAAGGTCATTCAGTCACAACACATTTAGCAAATTATTAATACTCCATACAAAAATAGTTTGTTTGCCAACTTTGTTTCGTTTTCATTTTTATTATTCCCAGTCTGTGTTGATCTACGACTGAATTGAAAAATAGTGGGAAATAGATTAATATTATTAATAGACGATTTTAGAAATGTAAATTTTTATTACAGTTTTAAAGATTATGAGTGGTTTTTTTGGTACAAATATGGGGTATGAAATTCTTAGTATAGATGTAGGATACCTATTATACATTATATTAACTATTCTTTATCTATAAACAAATACAGTTACCATTGTAGAACGTAAGCTGCCAGTTAATATCTGTATGCAACAATTTAAAATAAGTTTTTTACTACTATCGTCTTGTTCACAAACGAACCGACTTTTTTTATAAAAACTTTTCCGATTAAAAACCGTTCATTAGTGAGTTTTCTAAAATATAGAATAGATCTAAAAAAATCCAGTAGAATTGAGAACTTCATCCTTAAAGTTGGTTCTAATTAAAAATGATTTAATTACTCATTCTTTCATGATAAAACAAACATCCTAATATTAGCTAACTATTCAAATTGCCTACACCCTACACACGCGTTAAATGGTACAAAACGAGGATTCATAGCGAGCAATTGCAAAATGCTGGCTTATTAGCAATAATGGTAAATCTAGAAGGTCGACCGGTGGCCGGCATTGCAGCTGCAGAATTGCAGCGTTCTCACTCCGCCGTTGGCAGCGGCCCATGTGCGAAAGAGACGAATCACCTCGCTTGCCTCTCGCTGGTGTGGTGTCGAAACGCTTGTTGCGTGCTCCGCACCGCCATCGCCACCGCTCTCGCAAAACAGTTCGCGGTTGGACCACACTCAAATAGACCAGACCAGTTTTGTGCTTCAAAAGTGACAGTGATGTGTACAATAGAATAGAGTTACATAATACTGGGACACCTATCTGTGCGCAGTCAAAGGATGTGCTCGCTGCTGTTAGTATTCTTTGTTTACATTTTGCAGACACGTGGTTAAGCGTAGTAACGCCGAGTGGATATAAGCATATCTATCTATGTCTAAAAAATCCAGGATTGAGTTAAAATATTTTTTTGTAACTCTACCGTTGGTCACGTTTGTTGTTTGTTTTGTTTGTTGTTTTTGGCTACTCGTAGATCACTTTTACAATGATTCCACGTTCATGTATTACTTAGCGCCCTATAAAACAACTTTTTGGAACACCTCATCGGAATTATAACTAATTATCTGAAGTTATTTATTTTTCATGCGAGAAAATTAGCAGACGAGGTTGGTAGGACTGCCTATCTAATTAAAAGCTAATCGTTATCAAGAACATACACTTTGCGATCAGGTATCATCCTACTCCATATTCATTTTACTCCTAATGAGCTAATATTTCGTAGAACTGAATTGCAAATGCAATGCCTCGGGCGCTTAGTAATTTCATTACTATAACCTCACCTTCTAAACCAGTATTGCCAGTAAAACTAACTAAGCAGCTATGTCACTTATATATTTCTAAATGCCGGGTAATGCTAATTTCTGTAATAAGCAAAAGTATAAAATACAATATTAATTCCTTAGGAATGTATACCTACTAGTTTTAACGACTACTGGAGAACTTTATTTACAGCATACTATAATCACAGATAACAATATTATACACTAAAGTGGATATTGTTAACTAGTTATATAGTACTTTATGCCCTTACATCGTAAGATTCCAGTGCATGTGAGTTGCGCCAAGCCAAGCATCCAATGTCACCAAACCGGTTCTTGGTCATCCTTAGGAAGTAGTACCGCGACGTGAGATATATGATTTGGAAATAAACGTGTTGCATACATGATCATTTTCCGTTTTAATACAAAAATTGCCTCACGTATTACGCTTCGTGTTTCGCCTATTTATTGAAAATTGAAATAGTACGCAATAGTAATTTGCAACGATTGACTAGTGTTTTTTTTATAAAATGGTGATCTATATTGTGTCGTAATTTTAACATGTGCAATAAGGTAAATGAAATATTTTTAATTTTATGTATTAGTGTTGTAATTTTACATGTTTTCAATAGGTATTTAAATCTTTTTATAACCTAAAAATATTTTCCAATAAATACGGTAGTTCACTGACACCCAACATACGAACGAAAACAAAAATAAACAACACATAACAGTGCATAACTATGACAACATCAACATTTACCTACATTTAGAATTGCAACTAAGTAGATTATTAGCACGCGCATCAACCAAATTGATTTAATTGCAGGTATATAGGAGGCATGCACTGCTATAAGTAGTATCCGTAAATCCTCAAATTGTTTAATTTTCAACCAAAAGTTTATAATAATAATGCAATAAGATTTTTACGTTTATAATTTTGAAATTGATCTTTTCTTTATTAAAATATACTAGCTGCCTATCGCAACTTCGGCTGCATCATACTTACTTAACATTTACCTTTATATATTTCACCTAATTTACATGATGTTTTTCAATTATAGCCGATGTGTTAATCCGATGTATAAGCCATATTACTATGACGTTTCCTCAAAAGTCGTTTTCACGTGAAAGAGCAACAAACATCCATCCATCCATACTCACAAACTTTCGCCTTTATGATATTAGTAATTAATATATTAATTTAGGTAAGCGGCGGGTAACCGCTTACTGTCAAATAGAATTGCTGGTTGGCCATTCCAATAACATGAAAATAAATATAATAAGACTGTTGTAATAAATATTTATAGATTTTTGACATGTACTTATGTATTTATTTAAACAGAATCCATATCACGAGCAAATATAAATTTACAGATAAAATCTACTTATTGGAATAATATAAAAAAAGTTGGCTTGCCTTCAAAGTTAGTAGTAGCTACACGTGGTAGGTACACATACGCCTGTACTGAAATGGAATGGGCTAACACGATCTCTTATTTTAATTTGCGTTTATATTTACGTAAATATTTTTATATTATGTACATTTTTACTAATGTATGTTTACAGCTGTTGTAAATAGTAAAAAACAATACGATTGTTATAATCTGTGCTACGTCTCCATAATGACTAGATGGTGTCATACACAAAGTATGTCATTGGGCAATGTTAGAAAAAGACTATAGTTTCATAATTCTGAGCCGTAACTTGCACAAACAACAATTGCATTGTCATTTTCTTAAACTCATTTGCTCCGAATATTCAGATTAGAGAAATAGTGCCGAGTTCACTTTCTGTAAATAAATAACCCTGGACAATTAACATAGCGCAATATAGTCCACTGGTAAGCAGAGCTCGGAAGATTTTTCTATCTACTTGTAACATACATAATATACATAGAAAACATCCAGATCAATACTAACAATCATACTCATGAATACAAATGTTTGCACCTTACGAGGAATCGAATCGGCGACCATTGGAAGTAAAGCTAAACCATCCGAGGCCATCAGTTTCTGTAACATCCTAATTTAGCTTCCACCTAACTAGGGAGAATTCAGTGACCTGAGTTGTTCAATTTCACCTCAATTAAGTGGATTTAAAAATACACCTAATACTTACTGGTATTGTGTAATAAAAAATATTGTAGGATTAATGTTAAGATAGCCTGAAACTACATATGTTAAATAAACAATTGAAAATAGTCATTTATTCCATTGACTGAAAATGAAAATATTATAAATCTTCCATATTGAACCCTCTTGAAGTATCAGACACGTAAACATTGCTAAACAAAGGGTTCGTTATTGACAATAAACTGTTCATTAAATTGCAAGTAAAGCAAAAAGTAGGCTATTGTTCTACAAAGAACTGCATCCAATTTATGTAGTTATTTGAACTGCTAAGTGTACCTACAGGTTTTATATCGTAATAAATAACTTTGATCGCTATCTAGAAAGTGGTATTAGTAAAGTATTAGTCAAACAAAAACATGAACATTATGAAAAATATTTTGAATGTTACCACATAAATAGCTAAAACAGTGATATCGCGAGTATCGACCTTACTTATTGATTTGTTTCCACTCGACTATTTCCAGAATGAGCACAGCCATAATATTTTAGTTTATTTAAGATAAATCAATACGAAAATAGCATGGAACTTGACCTAGTCGATTCGATACAAAAAAGTAAAACCATCACATTGTAATAATATGTTAATATAATAGTTTACACTTAGCGATCTCCCGTCTGTTACAATTTTATTATCTCTCTGACAGCTACTAAGATGATTTCAAGATAGTTATATTTAGTAACAAAGAAGTAATGTAAATCTTCGTAGGTTTTCGTTATTCAAGAAAAACAACTCACTAAAATGTATATTTGACAAAAAGTATTATATTATGTTATATAATATTTGCTGTGTACTTAATAAAAAGCAATAAACTGTTTCTTTCTCTCGTGACTTTTTTTATTAAAATTTAAATGAACGATGTAATTTTTTATATACTTGTTATATTGTGCACAAAATTGTTCTTAAAAACTTAAAAGATTGATGAAATGATTACTCATTATTTCTGAATCCATACTAAAATTACAAACTCTACAGTCCTATAGTAATTTTAAAACTACAGGTACTTGCACTATCGCTAAGTATCAAATCAAGTGAAGCGAATGAAACGAGTGAAACGCATGGTGTGAAACCACGCGTTTCACTCATCGTTTTATTTCAAAATTCCATGAACATAGTTTTGTCATATGAAATGAACCAGCGAAACGTAGGCGATACGAAATTATTTACATTACAAAAGACCTCTTTTACTGCTTGAAATGTAATCCTACAATAACCTAAGTTCTTTTTATTTTTAAAAGAAGTAATCGATTTAACTTTTTATTTGTTGATTTAATCATGGTCATTGTTGATATAATTAAAGGATAGTTATCAATCTTCAAAATAATGCGAGCTTAAATATAACGCATAACTTATAATTTATATAAATTTAATAAAGATGGAAAAATTATCTTTTCAATATTTAGGAGATTCCCGTGTTCAGCGTAGGTGGCAGCATACGATTAGATTCCTTTCCAAAAATATTACATGATATCTATACCCTATATTTCATTCGAGGACATTTATTATTATTAATCAGGAACTATTTGTGTTTATATGTACAGGATTAGCACACAACTGATGCCAGATTATAGTATATCAGTAATAATATTCCTTATTACTAACGTATTTAGATAAGATATTTACATGTAAAATATATGACAAATTGACGTCATAGTATACCTATTGGTACAACGATACCAATGCCAACCAATGTTAGTATAGTGTTATTAGAGCTCAGTTAAGAATTCACGTAGATTCGAAGGTAATCGACCTTTACACATTGCGTGTTTTACACTACCGACCAGTATTTAAAGGTCTATATTATGAAATAAGAGGTACATTATTACATGTAGTACCAATGATAAGTAGAACCAAAAGATTATTTCTACTTATTCTCCCGCCACGTGAGTTTTATACAATTAGGATTTAGGATTTGTGTTTAAAATTTATGGTAATTAATGAAAATTTGTAACGATATTTGGATGTGTCACGCTTGTTTATGATTTTATTAAAATATGTCACATCACAATACTAAATTGGCACATAATTTGCTTTTATTCTAATTTAAATAAACATGGTGGTGTACGTTTGTCATAGTAAACTGCATTATTGGGATATAAACTTCTCATTCATAATATTTAAAGTTAAAATTTGAACAAACAAAAATGGAATAAATCCTGGATTAATAAAATATACAATTCATTTACCTATTTATTTAGTAACACAATTCTAATTATTACTTATAAATACTCATATAGAGGAAATAGTCAAATTCATTGGGCTGTGTACGCTCGTTAAAATATTAATGATAAGGTTTTCTTCCTGAATTGTCAAACAAGCGGGTGTTCATTGTTCCTTTCAGGTGATTATTATAGTTGTTGTAATTAGGAATAATGATACAGTATATATCAGTAGGTCGCAAACA